TAAAAACGTTCTCTCCAAGGGAAAACATATTTGTACTCCTCGATACTTTTTTTTGCTATAAAAACGTAACTGGAAATGTAGCTTGGAGCATCTGGATCTGGTATAGGACGTGTCGGGGACTGAAACAGGTGTACGCGTTAGCCCGCTTCCTTACATCGTTAGATATGAATGGCTTACGCGCCGCGCGCCGAACGCAGATTTACACGGATGCGTCTGTTCTCGGTATGTATCGGGTCCTTGACTCTGCTTGCCGCCGCCGGTAAGTAAACCGAAGCTTTACGTAACCACTTTCTATTTGCGCAAACGTACGAAAGCGCTCGGTGAGAGAAAAAAGAACACTGTCCCACCTGGAATCGCTTAGAAATGTTGCACGGAACACAAACCTCGTCCTGCCCGATCATACCAGCAGCAATCATCTCGAGATACACGTGATACGAATGTCGAAGAAGGATAAAGTTAGCGACGATGTTTATTGTGCAGGTGCGAAGAGGCTACAGAAGTGGAGACGCATCATCAGCAAACGGCAGCAACAACGATGGGCGTCGCCGAGGATGAGACGCCGTCCTCTTTGACTTCGCATCCGAACCCTAACGTTAACAACCCCAATCAAGAAGGTACGTGTCACAGTTCGAACTTTTTCTCAAAAGCTTCTCCGCTCCCCTGCTAATTCAGCCAACGAACGTACCCGTAAATTCAATTCTACAGCGTGAAAGACGTCGCTTGCCAAGTCCAACGATTATACGGACCAAGTTGAAACAATCGCGAATAACCTACGTATAAAGAGTGCGCTTACTAGCTTGTGTATGCGTCATCGGAGTATCTGATATTCCGCAGTTAGATGCTAGCTATTGCGTAGCGAACACGTGTTGCAACATTCTTACCGAAAATTTTTATTTTACGATATTTGAAACATTTCAGACACTCCGGCCACCGATTTTTTCGCAGATTTTTTCTAACTAACAAGAAGAAGTTTGAAGAATTCGTGGTAACGTTTACGCGGTACGCACATATGTACGTACTACGTCTCGAAACGGTCATTTTCAAGTTAGCGGCATGACGGTACAGTAAGCCGATATATCAGAATAGGCACGTTTACGTTCCATAGCTTTCTTCCGGATTCGCAATTGACGTTAATCACGGTCCGCGTTAACCTTGCGCATTCCCGCCTCACAACTCGAAACGAAGTTAAGAAGCAAAATACGCGCTCGTTAATCCGTTTAATTATACCAACACGGAAGCACCGCGGAAACTCGCGATGCGACAGAAACGTCGCACGCTGGCTTGCTATTTCTCACCCAACGATCACCGTAACGATCCTTGTCTCTTCCTTGTCCCTTCCTACGTACGCAGCTACGTACATTCCCGCGACCATATATACTAGCGCACACCTACCGAATGTGGATTCAAGTTGAAAGAACGTTGCGAAATTACCGAGGCCTTGAACAATTATTCCAAATGTTGCGTTTCAAAGAATAAACGTACTTTCACAAATGTCGGCTAGTGAAACTGGCGAAAAATGTGCAATCTAGATCGAGTATATCGCCGAATCGAACAAACATACGTACTTATGTATATGTATATGTAAGAGGTTAGGTTAGATTAGCCATAAATCTCGTAGATGGCTCCACTTTCTAATACTTACGGAACAACCACTAGAGTTTCTCGAGATTTTTCTGTTTCTTCCATATGACATACATACATACATACATATTACGCATGTAAAACGAACCATAAACGAAAGGCATTTTCTTTATTTTTTCTCGTATCCTTCTTTAGGAATCGTGTTGCTTTCAAATTTTTTGCACGTAACGTCCGTCGTAACCCGAGACCCTACCAGACGAAAAACACGAGCGACCGTTGTCGTTTTTCTTAAGGTTATATTTTGCTTTTCGAAAGTATCGTTCGTACACGATAAATCCTTTGTCAAATCGTCCAATCGATGTATCCGTAGGAATAGACGAATGTTAGCCTGTTCTCAAGAGGATCGAGCCTCCGAAGGTCGACAACTCTCGAATAAGCAAAAAGCCTTTTGTGACATGGCTACGAAAAAAAGGAACGTTACCGTTTTCACTCGCGATTCGCGCGATATAACGAGCCTCCGTGTCTCCATTGTGCCGTACGACTTTACGTCGAATCGCGGCACAATCGACGCAACCTCTTTGCATGTGTCGTACGGAATGAGTCATCGACGGATCTATTTTTCTATCGACATTCTCGATCCTTTTCGAATCGTTTTTAAATCTTTCTTACCATTCTTTTCTGTGCATTCTCCGTTTCAAAATAACCAACCTTAATCGCACAACGATATTTTAAGAAATTTCTTCGATGCTTTTCGACCCCTACTCGAATTTGACGCACGGTAAAAACTGTTTAGGAAGCGAAAATAGAACGAGAAGGAGAGCGCTGTAAAATTTTGTTTCGTCGACCAGTCGGTCTCTGTACTTTTGCAAAAATCGAGGGAGGTCTTCCATCGCCATGCACAGTCGAGCGCGATGGTATTGTAAATAGAACGGTATTTCGTAGCTGGAGATAACTGCGAAGAGGCGGTGACATCGCCTAATTACGGAATAAAATCGATGCTAGCCCGAATCTACGTACACGCTATACTGCAGCTTTATCAACTTGGTGGAAACGCGATGTAACCAAGTAACCAAAACAATACCTACGAAGTGTACAATTTTATATCGCATCGTTTTTATCGTATCATTTGTACGCACTAGATATATGCAGGTATGTACGTCTATCAACGTTTTCCACGATACGAATCCAACGCTACACATAGGAAGCACGGGTGTAATGGTCATCGATCATCATTTTCTGGATTCAGCGTGTCTCGCACAATAGGTATGCACGTGAGTCTAGAAAAAGTGTAATTTATGTATTCCCAGAGACTGTACGACAGAGTAAGAGTACGTTCGTTACTTTGCGTTTCGTCTCCTACTACATATGTATGTACATACGTATTGTGTATCGAGTAGGCGGCAACGCGACTGTACCGACGTGTATCGAGGCTAGAGAGTCAAAGGTAAAATCATCGCTCTCTTCTGTTTGGCCTTTTCTCGGAAGAGAAGATAAATACGTAAATTAATCTTATCGTTGCTTACCCAGACGCGCAACCGTGACTAACGGAACGATCGTTGCCAGACCACTAGGATTTGTTTTTCGACGAGCCAGTTGAAAATTGCTTCGTATCGCGTGACCATTCTGCTGGTCGTTCATCGATCGGGGTACATTCTATACGTTGGTGCAGCCCTTTCTAAACTCACACGGCCCCACCAGACGCATGAGAAATTTTAAGGTACTTGTATGCCCCGTGTGAATATTCTGCGACGAAAAATATCAATCAGCTGCCCTCTAACTTCCTTCGTCGTTACTTCAATTTTACGAAAATTTTACATCGGAGAAAGCTGGCTACGTTTGCTCGGACAAAGGATACTTTATCGCACGTGTGTTCTATCTACCGGGATACTTCCGCTGTTTTACCATCGCGATAATTCTTTTCTTTGTACGAAAGAACGGTGCTTTTGTAGTGGCACTATCGTTAAGGTAACATCTAGTTAACACCACAACTCTCCCGAAACTAGACGAAACATCATCGCGATGTATTTCGTTCAATTTGTGAAAGTGTCGAACAGCGTTTACCTAAACTATCGCTTCTCCCCTTCGCGCTTTTTCTACGACGTAGAAAATATATGTAAAAATCGCGAGATGTATTCTTCCAAGAATAGACAGGGAGAAAACAACGGCAAGAAAGAAGTATCCTTTGTGCCGTGCGACGTACGTACAATTTGTTGTGTAAGGACCATTGTTTTCGCAGTTTCTATGGAAGAAATGGAAAGTGTGCAGCTTCCTGTAAATCTTCCCTATAATACGCGGAAATGATTCCGTCGCTATAAGTTTCCAGCGTAGAAAACTAATTAATTCTCCTTGGAAGGCATGTTTTCGCATTCCTCGTTGCTAACCTTAAATTACGTTCAAGCAAGACGAACGACAATTTTTCGACGAACAACGTTTCTTCAGTTCTACGTTCTTCTCAGTCGCAGAAAATCTTCATTTTGATTAAAAACGATCTGTGTCACGTTGAGTGTTTTATCGTCAAAATTTTTCTACGCAAATTTAATATTCCAAGTATATACAATATGGCGAATGTGTCTAATACGAAACGAGAGAGATCGCGCGTATCTATCGGGATGGTGTTTGCGCTGGACGAATTAAAATAGAAGGGTGGGCCAAGTGAAACCGCTAGAAGCATTATCATCTGGGCAGGTTTATCCGTTGTCGTTCACCGACCGGTAAGGTAGATACCTTCAGGACGGCTGGCAGCAAGGCGCACTGGTTCGAACGGTGCCGCGTTGCAGGAAAATTGGTGAAATGTTGGTCGGAGCTTTTAGCACTGTTGCCTCTATCGCTGTGTTGTGTTAACGTTATTAGAGTGGAAATCCTGCCTGGATGTATTTACGCGATCGCTCTACCGATTCTCCTTTTTCACAAAAATCATCCACCAGTCCCCTCGCTGTTGTCGCAAACACGTCGCTTTTTTTTTTGTTTTTTCCACTCGAAAGTTACCACCATTATTCCTTTTCTATTCCCGCTACGTTTTTCAAACTTCAACATTTTTCTTTTTACTCTACACGATAGGATAGATTTCTAAATAGTTGGAATTGAAATAAACGGTAACGATGGTCTGGTTCGGATGAAAATAAACGTATCGACGATTGAGGGTAATGCGGCTAATGTCGGTGTTCGATCTAACGGAGAAAGTACGGAGATTATACAATATATTCTCGGTTAGTCAGATCCGCAATATTTTCACCTGGTATGCGACACGTAGCGGAGCACTGCAGTATTTTAGTTAGGTCGAACTGCGCTTTGAACCGCTGCCAACAACGTCTTTCTCTTTGTCATCCTGGTTTTTCCTCCTCGTCTTCTTCGTATTCATTTCGCCTGTAAGGTATTCTAGGTCAAGTGTGTATTTTAACGATCACGTGGGTGATCGATACCGATACCGATACCGATACCGATACCGGCGAGGTCCTTCCAGTTTACACCTCTATCGCGTTATTTTCTCCTTGCTACATCTCTCCTTGCTTTATCTTTCGAGGAAAGTGAAAATAACCTTTTCGCAACAGCTGTTCGATGAATGCTCCCGATATCTTGTCTACTACGATTAATCAGAATTATCGCGGTACGTATATTCGACAAGGCGCGCTATCGTCTCCGCCATCTGATAAGGTTACTTTCTTTTCCATCTTAACTCCTTTCTTCGTTTTTACTTCGACTCTCAGCTGTTGAAGGATCGAAAGCGAGCGATTCCTTCTTTCCGAATAATCACGATTTGCAAAATGATTTTCCTTTGGAAAGAAAAGAAAAATCGACTTGGCACGTGGCGAGACAGGAAGAAGCAACGGATAAGCGCAGAGCGTAGAGGATTTACACGGTGTTGATCGTCGCATACCTTTCGTCGAGTTGCTTAATAACGCGTTAAAGAGGGATCGCGGGATCGAGACGGTATCGTTGCCGCCCTCCTTAATACGGTGTGCACGCGCGTGCACAAACGGAAGTTCCCCAAGTTATCCGCACACGGAGGGCACTGTCCTTAATGCGTTGCATAACT